ATTATCGGGATCTCTCGCAGAGAACCATGGCTCCCGGGTTTTTTTGTATGGTCTAGTACCAGTGCGTGGCCGTGTGTGTGAATGTGAAATTCCGAGTTGTACACCCTCGTGGAGCCGGGATGCGGCACCACGGGGATAGGCGGAAGGGACACGGGCACCACGATTTGGATTTGGTACGGGACTGATGGGACAGCCAGTTCTCGGTAAGTACCGCGAGGGCGGTCTTATTTAGAGAATATCTTGCGCGAGAATATAGCCGAGCGGGAGTGGTGAGGACACACGGATGCCTCAGGTGGCTACCGACGTCAGAGGGCACACTCCCGAGGAAGGAAAGGCTCGTCTCCAACGAGACCTGTTAGGATCGCGAATCGCGCCGCGAGGGGATTCGCGGATTCGGTAGGGACACCGAGATAGGGACAGGTCTGGGGCAGGCTAGAAATCACGACTCGGAATAGTCGTGAGCCGCCGTTGGAGAACACACTGTACGCGACGGGATTTGTATTGTAAAATCCGCCGTTTATTTGATGGTAATAAACGGAACGATATCCTACTCGCTGTTTTATCATTTTGCGCGCCTATCCGTTGACTCCGAAATTCTCTCTCGTCGCCCCCATGTTGCCCTCTACCATTTTCAGTGCGTTGAGGCTGAGCCGCCGGGAAACCTGAAAACGGCCATGGTGAGGGATGGTGGTGCGGGAAAGCCGCACCTGGCGCCCAACAATTAGATCTTCGGATCTTCTCTTCGATTACAGCACGTTGGGAGCAGCCACGGATTATTTGTAGGCGACGCCGATGAACGGTACACGTCACAATATATGTATAATAAATTTGCCTATTTCGCCAAAAACCTTTACCTGCGGGCTTTGATCTCTTCTGTATGAAATTATGATGACGTTTGAGTATATCAATTCAAGGCCTTCACTATTGCATAAGACTTTTCATCGGTCTTATATACTGAAAGAGAAAAATGAACAAGACTCCTTTGAATATGTAATTGTCAGTGTCTAGCAATTATTGAAACCGTTGTATAATTTCTTACTATCAGCTGGGTGGGATATCAGGGCAAATGAAAGCTCCAACTTATAGGTTTTTTGACAAATCAGTTGTATGTACAACTAATGTAACATAGTAAAAAATATGTACCAAAAGACAGAAGAGCAGAGGTCTTCAGATTCAGTATTAGATTACGAATCTATTCTATTTTGACTTGTTCAACGAGCCGGATTGGAGTCAAATATCAAAATGTAAAAACCATCTGAAAACGTGATCCCTTGTCTATTCTATTAGAGGAAAGTTAGTGTAAAGAAGAGTGATAAAAAAAACTTGAATTCGAATCATGAGATTTCGCCTGCAGAAACGAATCGTCATTTTTAATCAGTCAAATCAAGTATTTTTTCGTTATCGGAATACAGTCCCTCAAAATTAATTTTATTCTTATTTTGCCGAACGATATTTTTTCACGGATACTTTCATTATTACGAAATAGTTCGAAAAACAATATTCTCAATTGTAAAACCAGACAATTTTCACTTAAATCAGGTAACTGGAGTAAAATCTCGTGTAAACGAAGAAAATGACTTACGTAGTACATGCAAGAAACGATTGGTCAGTTAGAATATACATAGCTAGACGATAAAGAGGTATGCGCGTACATACATAACTGCTATGTACTTTTATCTCGATATATACATACATAGCGTACTTATATATTTTATACATATACGTAAATGAGCAAGCAAGATAGAGAGTACGCGATACCTAAGTAGTGTTTCCCGAGGCGCACGCGCTCTCGTTTTCTCGCGAAATCTTGTCTCATTGGAGGGGATACACGTGCCTCGCATTTGTATCATGATTGTTATTATTATGCTGCAGCGGTCGCCACGAGGCGACCTGAACGTAGTAACTGACTGGCTCTTCTCTCCTCTCTGTTATGTTTCATTCGGTTTTCAGTCGCTCGGAAGCCACCGGTGTGCTTGCATCGAACTTGTCTCCTGTTTTAATACCTCGATCGAACTTCCACAACTCCATAAGGAGCCACTCTGATTGTCCTCGTTGAACGAAATTTCTACAGTAATCTACTTGACTTGGAAATAGTTGATTATCTGAGTTAATATTGTTGGAGTGAAAGTTCCTCGAGGTCTGTCAAGTATATTTGTAGGAATTGTTAAATATCACAAGTGATTTTTAAATCCGGTGGCTTATAAACTGTATTTACAGAGTGGTGCGCGATTATAATTTTGTATTTGAAACAGCAACTCGTACACGTTTGACTTGTGATAATTTTGAGTGATAGACATACGTAGACATACATTAATTGCACCATCGTTCATAACCTGCTTAAGAGTGCGAATTACTTGGAAAGGAACAAGAGGGTTTTTTGAGATTCGGTAAGATTTTACAAAATTAATAACTATTTTTATTACATATTGTCATTGTATTTTACTGGCGTCGAACGAATTTATGTACGTTTCTTGTTTCTTTGAATTCTCGCGTTACTGAAATCTATTGTTATTTGAACTTTGCTACATTAAATGACTGCCAACTATTTCAATTTAAATATATATATGACGACTATACATTTTATAGAGGGAATATTATGAAATATTGTATTACTTGTATTTATTATTATTGTATGTATTACTATTATTTATTAATATTTTGATCTATTGATGACTGTGAAGTTGGCATCTCGTGTGTTGGCTTCGACAGTAGTTCTGGTAATTTAACTAAAAAAGTGACATTTTAAAAAATGAGGTCTTGACTTCCCATCCAGCATCCCACATCTGATGATTTAATTTAACGGTAGTGAATTTTATGGATCTCAACGAGCTCTGTAGTCCTTTATATAATTTTTAACAATATTTCTAACCATTTAGCTGAAAAAATCCACGGTACACTTTGTCACGGGGTTAGTTTTTTATGTCTACATGCACTAAATTGTGCTGAATTCCCTTATAGTTTAAATAATAATTGCGGGTGGAACCATTGTTTAAACAATGATAGCCATGGCAAGTGGTCCGGGAACTGTTCGGAACTCTATGGAACACAGCGTCAGGAACTAAGCTCATGCCTAAGCATACTGAACGATGCAGCCCCAGCCTAGGCGGGAAAGTAGAATCTTATTTCTCCAATCGCCTTTTATTAGCTGAACAGTCAGAACTATTATTAAAAACTATTAAAAAAAAAAGTATAGAACTCCTCAAAGTCTGTAAGATTCACTATTATTTAAATAAATTTTCGGATATGGGATGCTGGACAGGAAGTTGGCGTGCCATTATTTAAAATGCTTTTCTTAAGCCAACCCTCCAGAACTATAGTAAACAATTATACAAAATTATGTAAAAATTTACTGGATCCAAATTTAGTTGTAGTTTTTTTTTTAAACCAACACACGAGATGCTAATTTCATAATCATGAGTATGACCCATCTGCCATGGCATATTAAAAGAAATTAATAACGATAAACAGCAACTCCCTCTATTATCTGTTTGACTATATTTTCTACTTGACGTCACC